CCGAGTTATTTATCACTTCCGACCCCTCTCCTGGGGGCCGGGCCGCTCTGCTCCGCTGGGCACAGGGCACAGCCCGGCAGCCGGCGCTCCCTGGGGGCTGGCGGCGGGGGAGGGGCGCCCCGGGCCGGCCCTCGGAGGCGGGGGCGGGGGCTGGGGGGCGGCGGAAGCTGCCGGAGCAGATAAGGGCCGAGGTCTGTTCTGCGGCGAGACAGTGCGGGACGCTGCCTCCGCCCTCCCCCCGCCGAGCCCGCCCCCGCAGCCCCTGCCCCGCTCCGGAGCCAGGCCTGCCCGGGGCCCTCCTCCCAGCTCAGGGCCGGGCGCCTGGTCCTTCAGTTCCAAAGTTGTTATTTCAGCTGGAAAATGGGGGTAGGGCCTCCACTTACCCCGCAGGGCTGTTGCAGATGAAACAGTCCGGGCTGGTGAGGGCCTCTGGATTTGGGGACCCTGAGCTCCTCTCCTTGCCCGCGCTGCACCCCCTGGCTCTCCGGGGCGTCACCCCCTTTGTGCAGGTGGGAAGGCGGGGGTCTCCCCCGAAGTCACAGAGCCAGCGCGGAGCAGAGCGGAGGATGGGACCCTTTCCACTGCCCCCAGTCTGGACACTGAGCTAGGTTCTGTGGAGCCAGACAATTTAATTTGGGGGCCTCTTTAAGAAAAAGTGACAAAATCACAAATACAGATTTCCCGAGGCCTCTCTCCCAGGACCTTGGCAGGGACCCAAGCAAGTGAGACGCTCAAGTTCAGCTTCTTGCTTTCCTGGCCCCAGCCCCCAGGCCTCCTTGAAGGGCTCACAGCCCTGAGGGGAGCAGGCAGACCACCAAGGTTGCAGGGTTGCAGGGTTGCAGGGTTGCAGGGTTGCAGGGTTGCAGGGTTGCAGGGTAGGGCCGCCCGACACAGCGGGGAGCTGCTGGGGGAGGCCCTGCTGCAGCTGGTCCCCACACCTTGGGCAGCTGTCAGCAAGCCCAACCCAAGAGCAAGGGCAGTCAGGCATTTGGGGGCTGCACCAGGGCTAGGCAGGGCCAAGTCCCCCCAGTTCCAACCGGTTCTGGTTCAACTTGCCACTTAGGGCCTCTGACCCTGCGGGCGGCGGTGGGGAACAATTTCTAGGAGAAAAGAAAGGGGGACCTCTCAGGGGAGTGTAAGTGCATCTGACTTGGAGGCACAGGGAATTGGGGTTCAAGGCCCTGCAAGGCTGTGTGACCTTGGAAAGACTCCTTTACCTGTGTCTTCTGTAAAATGGGAGTAGTGATCGTACCTTCTTGTCAGAGCTGTTATGAGGCTTAGAGGAGACCAGGCACGAAGGAGGCCTGAGCCCTTAGAAACGCATTTCCCTCCTGTGAAATCTCCAGGCCAGGAGAGCCAGCCCTTCCCTGTTCATTTTAGGGTGAAGTCTCTTACCAGGGGTGGGGTCTCAGGTCCAGAGCTGAGATTTAAACCTGTGAATGCCTGGCACCAATGCCCTGGTTCTAACCACCAGGGAAGGCTGCCCCCTTGGGTCCAGCTCTCCAGGGAGCTACGTGTCACTGCTGGGTGTGCACGCCCGGCCAGGGAGCCAAGGGGAGCACTTGATTCAGGGGTCTGCTCACCTTTCTGCGTTTTACCATCTCTCTGCTCTCTTGGGCACCGGAGGCTGGAAAATTGCCAACTGATATCCTGCAACTTGGACCAGGAGAAGCAGGAGCTCTGGTGATGGGGAGAGAGCTGGGGAACTGGATAAGCCATGGGCCTGGGCAGCAGTGACACCCCGACAGGCTCAAAGGAAGAGGTGCTGCTTTGCATCCTGGTTTGCATAGGATTTCCACTGGGTCGGCGGTCAGAACCGAGCCCTCATCTTGGAACGGCACCTTTCTGGACAGCTGATCTTGTACCAGTCACTCCTCCCCTCTGAGCCTCAGTGTCCTCATCTGTGAAATGGGGATCAGAATACCTGCAGCTTCAAGGATTGCAAGGCATTGTGTATGGAAAGTGCCCGATGAATGGCACCAGTGCCTGAAACAGTCGTGGCTGCCTGAGGAGGAAAAGGGCATCTGTGAGGGTAGGAGGAGAGTGAGCAGAGGTGGGGAGTCCTGCCAGGGCAGGTGTTTGGGGCCTCCAGGCCTCCGTCCCAGGGAGGGAGCGCCTTGGGGTAGGGCTGGGAACCGCAGCTACAGCATGCTCCCAGACCTGACAGGTCAGAGCGAGGCCAGGGGCCCTGGGGGTGCAGAGAAGAACTGGGAGCTGAGGTTCTCACCCCCCTCAGGCAGGTGAAGGGGAGAGGAGGGAGGAAGTGGGGCTTCTGAGTGCTCATGGGAGGGGCCTCTGTCGTGTGATGCTGGCCTGACGCTGGCCACACGAACACCCCATCCCATGACCTCCTTTGTCTCTTTGCAAATTTTCAAGGTAGGCATTTTCCAAATGGGGAAACTGAGGCCCCAGAGGCGAGGCCACTTGCCCAGGTTCACGCCCTGCACGCTGTTGGATCTGTCTGGCTCGGCAGTCTGGACTCCCACAGTCACTGCCACTTTCTTATCTTCTCTGCCTGACAGGTTGGGAGGGAAGCAGCGTGATCGCTGAGGCTGGGAGGGATCCCAGGCCCTGCCGCGCTCTCCTGCGTCCCTGCCCCAGCTGACAGCCGTCCAGCAGACGTCGCAGGAGCCCCAGGGCTGGCACTCAGGGGGATCTGCTCCTAGTGAGAGCACGGGCCCCTGGAGTAAGGGAGTGAGCGCACCGTCTCAGGAGGGCTTCAAGTCGAGGCCTCCTGAGTCTCCACCCATGTGCTTCGATGGCCGAGGAGCGGCTGGAGGAGGGTCTGCCGGGCATCTGAGGGCATGGCTCATAGTGGCCCCCAAAATAGCCGAAATGTTCCTGAAGTTCCTCATTTTATATCTTGAAAATGTATACAGATGGGCATCCTTCTTTTTAATATGTCAGCTTTCCTCCCCTTAAAAAAAAAAGTCTCTACCTGAGTGGAAGGCATGCCATGGTGCCCGCAGTGCCCGCACAGTGGTGCCCGGCCCCTGGCCCCCGTGGTCCGGCTTCGGGAGTTTAGCAGGGACAGCGCTGAGGTCAAGCCCTGCCTGTTCTCTCTCGCAGTCCAGGGCTCTCCCTGCCTCTGGTCCGTGCTCCTGCCTCTTGCTTTGGGCCCGCTTCTCCTCTCGTAGACGTTTGTCCAGCCCAGCCCAGCTCTCCCACTAGGAATTCTCAGGATGCCTCATCCTCCCTTCGTCCCCAAGGGTCCTTGTCCAAAGGGGCGCCACCCATCTGCAGCTCTCTCTAGGCGGCCAGCACCCGACTCTCAGATTTCTGTGCCCATGAAGAGGAAACTGAGACCCAGAGACAAGAGGTGCCCAGCCCCAGGATGCACAGCAAGAAGGGTTGTTGGGTGCCCAGGTGCCTAGGCCTGGAGCGAGGGCACCCGATCTGGGCCCTGGCCAGGGAGGCAGGAGGGAGGAGGGAAGGCCTTGGGGCACCGGGGGCTGCTGCCTGGCAGGTCCCTGTGCCCAGGGTAGGGAAGTTTCTTATTTCTCCTGCTTGACTTCCCCCTTTGATTTATTATAGCCATGAAATGCTCTGCTCTCTTCTCTTTTCCTTGCTGTCCCCGGGCCTGGAGGAGCACAGACCTCCCCAGGAACTGGGTCTTGGCCTCGCTGGACTCCTGTCTCCCTCTGAGGGTTGAGCCCGGAGTCAGAAACAAGCGGTGAGTTGGTGCAGCCAGGGCGGGATGAGGAGGGGCCCGGCTTCCCAAAGGCTAGCCTGGGTAGGACCCAGGGGCTGGCACAGTCTCAGCTGGGAAGGCATGGGGCTGGGCAGAGAGGGTGTGGCAGGCAGGTGTCGGCTTGAAAGCAGATGGCTCCCTGGGGTCGTGGGGGTGGCAGGCTCTGGGCCAACGGCCTCAGTGAGGCTGGGGGATTGGGTCCTGTCAGGGTCTGAAGGCCGGGCCCAGAGTTCTCAAATGCCAACCACCAGGGCAGAGAAATGGCTTCTCTGTGACCCTTGACCCCAAATTCTGATTTAACAGTGGGCAAAGCAGACCTGGCTCAGGCCGGTTTGAGGACTGGGCTGAGAACCCAGAGGAAGGCATGAGGCCCGAGCCTGGGAACCACCCGCTGCTCCAGGCCACAGCTGGACACCACCCTGCGGCCCCCGGCTGGGGAGGGAGGGCTGGAGCCTGCCTGTCGGGCTGCTGGGCAAGCCCGAGGGTCGGCCGGAGCGTTTCTGCCTGTGCGGTGCCTGTGGTAATGGGGCTGTTGGCGTTTTGCAATGGGCCGGGGGTGGGGACGCTGCGCACACATGCTTCCTGTGGTGACTGGGCGCTTCCTGTTTTCTCAGGCGCCCGGACTTGCTGCTGCCGATGTGGAAACAGGGCAGCTGCAGCCTGGGCGGCTCCAGCCCAGGGCCAAGATGCATACCCTGAGCGTCGCCCCCAACTGTGCCCAGGGGCTCCCAAGTGGGCCTGCCACCCCGGCCCCAGGCCAGGCTCGATGGCCTGAGTTACCCCAGACCCCAGGCCTCTGTCTTTCCCATCCCCAACGGCTCCCGCCAAGAGGAAGGGGTCAGCAGTGCTGTCATTCAAGGTCAAGGCCGAGCAGACGGCCCAAGGGGTCAGAGGCAGGGGGTTGGGGAGGGTGAGAGCTGCAGGGGGTCAGGGCACGTGGCTCTGGTCTCAGCTCTCCTTCGTTCCCTGAATGGCTTGGCCACCCTGACCCACCCCAGGCCGAGGCATTCTCCTTGGTGCAGTGATGGGGGCACCTGTGCTCTAAAACTCTTCATCCACTTCCGCCCCAATTTTTCCTTGATTATTATTATTATTATTATTATTATTATTATTATTATTTTTGGTTAATCCTCACAGGAGGATGTTTTTCCCCCATTGATTTAAAAAAGAATAAAAGGGAAGGGAGAGGAGAGGAGAGGAGAAGAGAGGAGAGGAGAGGAGAGGAGAGGAGAGGAGAGGAGAGGAGAGGAGAGGGAAACATTGATGTGAGAGCCACATCAATTGGTTGCCTACGGTATTTGCCCGCACCAGGGCAGGGAGCCTGCAACTCGGGTAGGTGCCCTTGCCCGGAATGGAACCCGAGATCCTTCAGTTTTCGGGCTGTTGCTCTAACCACTGAGTCACGCTGGCCAGGGCTTGTCTTGAGTTTTACATCCCAAGAGCCTCAGCTTTGGGGATGGGGCTGGGGGCCTCAGCACAGGCCTGGACAGAGAGGGGGCTTGGGTAGACTGGGGGATGGAAAGGGCATGCCAGGCGGGGGCCAGACTGAAACAAGGCTTGGAAGTGGGGAGGCCAGGACCAAGTTCGGGAGGCAGGGTGTTGATGGGACAGTCAGAGAGGGTGGAAGGTGACCAGGTTGACCCAGAAGGTTCAGAAGTGGGAGGAAGATTTTAAGAACCTCTGTGTTCCTGCAAACCTGAGGAAAGGGTTTGACACCTTCCTCTAATTCTTCCTCAGAAGAAAGGCAAGCGGTTGTGTGGAGGGTGGGGACAGAGTCGCCCCGTCCGTCCCCCAAGCAGGTGAGGAGAGCCATGTGCTGTGATGGGGGAGCCCTGGGAGGGACCCAGCCTTTCCCCATCTGCCGGGGGCCTCGAGTTCCACCCTTAGGCCAGGCCTTCGGGTTCGGCACTGCCCTCTTCCCGAACGTGTTGTGTTTTGTTTTGAAGCGGCTATTGCAAGAAGGGGAGGGGAGATGACTTGCTTCTTGTTGAGTTTGCTGACAGCATCTGACCTCTGGAGGAAGTTTTTTTTGCAGGAAGGGTGAGGCCTAGCCCCCTGGGCACTGACCAGTCCACTGACTGAGTTCAGCCACCCCCTTGGTCCAGGAGGTCCTAAGATGCCGGCCCACACACAGCTCCCCCTGCAGCTCCAGGCCTGCTCATCACAGAGCACAAGGACCTGTCCCAGCCAGAGAGGCCTTGGGGACCTAAGACCTCGAGGCCCAGGCTGAGGGGCCACCAGGCCAGCCTGGGCCCCGCCATGCTGTCCCTCCTTGGTGCCCTGGGCCAGCCCAAGTGCTGAGTTGGCGGCTCAGCAGCTGCTCCTGCCCGCGGAGGCCCAGTTATAAATAAGCCTCGTGTGGCCGAGTCATCAGTTCTGTCTCAGCTGCGTTACCTCAGTGACCACAGCACGGGGCTGCCCAGAACTGGGCCCATCAGAACCTGCCCACCCGGGCCAAAGGCCGGACAGGCCTTGACGCCTCCTGGGGTCCCCAAATCCAGGGTTTGTGCATCTGCAGTGACTCAGACCTGGGCCTCCCTGGACACAGGCCACAGAAGGGGCAGGGCCATCCCGCCTGCACGGAGCCAGCAGCTATTTACAAACCGAAAGGGGAGGAGTGAGTGGCTGCGGCCAAAGTGGCTCCAGGCCCCAGCCCCCACTCCCACTCCATCCCCAGCAGCCCCCTCCCCCCTCCCCATGGCTTCCTCTTTCCTTCCCCACACAGCCCCCCAACCTCCCACTGCTCGGCCAGCTCTCTCTGGAAGACCTGGAGGCGCCCGACAGTGACCCTCAACCCCACAGCGGCCAGCCTGCAGGTCCCCTTCTCCCCTCGACCCCAGGACCCCAGTCGTTGGGGCTCCTGAGAGCAGCAGCCCCTTCCCACGGGGCCCAGCCCACCCTGCCTGCCCGAGGCACATTCCCACAGTCTCAGTTCCCCTTCGTGCTTGGAAAAGCTCCAACCCCAATGGCCGCCACCATGCGGCCGGCCTTGCCTGAGGGTGGCTTCTCGGGGTGCCCTCAACCTGAGGCACGTGGGGACTGTAGGGGGCCCGTTTCTGGGTAGGAGGCCCCAGCCACTGCTCTCTTCGGGCTGGTGTGGGTCACAGGCCCCTCTCACGGTGCAGATCTGAGCGGGACAGATGGACACGGCCCGAGACCACAGCACACCCCGCTTAGGAAATGGCAGGCAGGGTGGTGCCGCAGCAGTGACTGCTCCAAGGAGAGAGAGCAGGGGACAGTCCGCACACGCATCACTGATACTAGACCAGTGCCCTCCCTGTGGTGCGGAGGGTGCAGTTACCGCCAGCCAGTTCGTCCTGGAACAAGCCTATCCCTTAAAAAGTGGACACTGAGGCTGAGAGAGGGAACTGGGTGCCTGAGATGACGCAGCTGGCAAGGTCTGGACTGAGCTTCCAGATTTCCAGACACCCTGTCCCCTTCTCTCTCCAGCCGATGGCCCCCTTGCTTCGGCTCGGACCTCAGGCTCCCTACTGGGAGGACAGAGTCGCCCAGCACTGGGACCGGCAGCAGTGGCTGACCTGAAGCTTGAGGGGAAGCAGGCCTTGGACAGCAGCGCTGTCAGATGGCCGTCCCTGGCCAGGCCACCCATGCTCAGGACCCTCTGCCCGGCCTGGAGGGAAGACTCTAACTGCCCCGTCCCTTTCCTCCCGCCAAGTCCAGGTGAGGCAAAAGGCCGGGCCCGAGCCCCGCGCAGCCACAGCCGGCTGGCTGATGGCCACCTAACCTCTCTGAGCCTCTGAATCCTTTTCTGTGAAATTGTTATTTCACAAACACCGAGCTGAGGACAAGCTGTCTCTAAAGCTAGGACATGGCCCTGCCCACAGGTCTGTGGGGAAGGCAGGTGAGTTACAAAATCCTGGGAGACACCAAGAAGGAGTGGTGAATACTTGGGGTGGGAGGGTTCCCACTTGGGATGGGCCCTAAAGGACAGGAGAGGGTTCCCCAACAAAAGCAGGTGGGAGCAGGCTCTCCATTCTGAGTCACATCCCTGTGTCTTGGCTTCAGCATTTCCCACGGTCCGAGTGCCCTTCCTTCCTCTGAGCTTGGTGAACTCCTATTCATCCGTCAGGGCCCACGGACACACTCTAGCTGCCTGGCCTGGCCTGGCAGCTCCTTACAGCCCCTTTCCCACCCAGGGTCTGAGCAGACCCAGAGGCCAGGCCCCTTTGGTCACAGCGCCCTCGCCAGCCCCACCCAGGCCGGCATCTGCTCCGGAGCTCCAGCCCCCGCCGTCCTCTGCTCCGAAAAGCACCGTTTCCCTTTTCTGGGTGACCACACGCCATGCACAGGGAATTTCCATCGCAGCCTGTGGAGCCTCTGATTCACTCAGGTCCCTCTCACAGTTAACTCCTTCCGGGCCTGCGCCTTCTGCGCCCGCGCCCTGGGCTACCCCCACCCTGCCTGGGACTCCTGGGCAGCCTCAAACTGGCCTTGGGCCCCACAGCGTGGAAGTGGAAGTCAGCCTCCCAGTCGCTGGCCCCCTCGGGGCCCTCTCAGTCCCATCCTACACCCAGAGACCCCTGCCCCAAGGGCTCATGCCTCCACCCAGGGCGGCGAGCTGAGCACAGGTTTGGCAGTGACATAAGCCTGGGCCTATCCTGATTCCGGCCCTTTCTGCTCTGTGGCCTGGGGCCCTGTAAGTACAGGCCCGGCTCTGGGCCACATTGCTCATCTGTGAAATGGAGAGAATCCCTGGCCCATGGCCTGGTGCAATGCACTGGGTGCATGAAGGGAGCGCAGTGATGATTTCTTTTCCTCCTTCTTTCCGAAGGGCCCCTCCTACCCCTTCACAAGGTCCCGACTCCAGACCCGAGGTCTTTTTTCAGCCTGGCTTGCCCCTGCCAAGACCTAGTTGCTCAGACAGGGTGAGAGAGAGGTGTGTGTTTTGCGGGGGAGAGGGGGGCTGCTGTCTCAGGGTTCTCTGGCCCCTGCATTTCTCAGTTTTCCCCCAGGAGACTGTGGAGAGGCCTGGGTGGGAGCTCTGAGGGGCTGAGGCTGCAGAGAGCCGGAGCCTCGGAGACAGAATAACGCCGTCCTCCTCCCCGGGGGACACTGGGCCTGCGCCTCATTCACAAACATCACACGTGCTGTCTGATCTCATGCTCACAGCCAGTGGGAAGCATCCTATTGTCACCCCATTTCACAGACGAGGACGCCGAGGCCCTGAGAAGTGACTGGCCCTCAGCTACACAGCACACGGAGGAGGGGACAGGATTCCAGTCAAGGTCTGTCTCCAGAGGCTCAGTAAACATCTGTGAGGCTAATGAGGGGACCTGCACTGACCAGACCCCCACTGCATCCAGGTTCAGGCAACCGTCTTTCTCAGCCCTTTGAGCAATGCTGGGGCGCGGGCCTGTCGACCTCTCTTAGAAAGGAATCCTCTGAGCTCTGGCGAGGGCAAGGAACTTGCCCAGAGGCCACACTTCCAATCTGGGATCCAGGGGTCCCCAGAGAGGAGAGGAGGGGGAGAGGGGCTCCACAGACAAGGGGCCTGAGGGGAAGCAGCTCCCGTCCTAGCGAGCCAGCAGCGTGGGGGTGCTGCCCGTGGTGAGCAGAAGGAAGTCGCTGTGGGTGGCGGTGGGTTTGAGGTACCGGAGGCTGAGTGATGTGGCCAGGAGGTGAGCTCCCCGTCTGTAGGCCTGGTCAGCAGGAGACAGGGTGTGGTGGGGTGGCCGTGATTCAGGGCCCAGGGCGGTCGGCCTGCTCTGGAGATCTGTGCCTCCTGTGGTTGAGACTGGCAACAGAGGACAGGAGTTGGCACAGATGGGAGGAGAGACTCAGGGGGCCTGGGAGAGAAGGAGGCGAGCAGGGGAGAGGGTGCCTGGAGGGCAGCCTGGAGGAGGCGAGCCCTTGAGAGACTGAGCCTTACGGTGTGGAAGGGGGAGGCCTGTGAGCAAAGGGCGTGCGGGATTGAGAAAGAGGTTCTAGGAATGTTGAGAAGTGTCTTCGGGCTGGAGGCGGGGACGGGGCTGGCCCACTGGGGGTGGGGAGGGTGGACAGGCCTGCGGACTCTGGGTGTTGGGGGCTCCAGCACAGGCCTCAGGGGTTTGCACTTGGCCTGTGGACGAGTGAGAGCTGAGGAAGATGGTTAGGTTCGGAAACACCCCTGGGAGAAGTGAGAGAGGGACCACGGCAGCCGGCCCAGGGCCCGCGGAACTGCAGCCCCCTCGCTGTGTGTCCGCACACCCCGACCTGAGCCCAGTCCCCGCAGTGCGAACGGCCCTGGTGATAACATGGCTGCCCCGCGGGGCTGTGTGCGGGCGGGAGAGCTGCTGCAGGTGGACAGCGGGCCTCTGCAGATGCCGGCTCCCTCCCCCAGCCTTTGTCGGGGCCACAGGCTCTTTGTCGGGGCCACAGGCTCTTGACGCCCCGGCCGCCCCGGCTGTGGGTATGAGCCGGGTCTCAGGCCGACCCTCCCCTGAGCCACACGGTGCAAGTCACCAGCCACTTCTGAGCCTCAGTTTCCTCATCCGTCCCACAGGGATGATGGTGGCACCAACTTGAGACTTGAAGAAGAGAGACTGTGCCTCGATCTGACGCCTCCCTTCTATCTGGAGTCAAAACCCAGCTCCACACAGCCCTCCCCAAGGCCCACCAGACGCAGCCCCTCACCTCTCCCCTCACCCCACGCGGCCCCTCGCGGCCTGGTTCCTGCCCCTGCCTGGCGTGGGCCCTGGCTGCTCCCTCACCTGCTCTCAGGTCTGTCTCAGGAGGCACACCCTCCGCCCTCTTCAATGCCCCCCCCACCCCCACTTTCTAACGTGCAGGGGAACGTCTCAGCGACTCTGCTTATCCCTGTGGCCTGCTCCAGGTCAGCCCCAGGCAGGGGTCTTCGCCTGCGTGGGGCAGGCCCCCAGGGCCCCCAGTGAACATTTGATCGATGTCCTAATGCACTAGAGAGCCAGCGGGGCTCTGCCCAGCGCCCCAGAGCTCTGAGGGGCCCAGGCGACCGAAGCTGGGGCTCAAGGAGCCTCTCCCAGTGTCTCAACCGTGAGAGGAAGTTGCAAGACGGCCATTTCTGTACATGGGCTCACTCTGTTTGTCAACTTTCCCAGCTCGCGGTCGAGGCCTGAGTTTTCACATGCCCTAGCTCCTCTCCGCCTCCCCCCCCACTCACCCCCCCCCCGCCCCCGTGGGGACCAGTGCTGGGAAAGGGGGAGGGGGCTTCGCTCCCTCATGCTAGAGCTCTTTGGGGTTGAGGCTGGGGCGTCTGCAAGCTCAGGGGTTGTGTACCCTTTGTGGACTCAGCTTCGAGGACAGCACCCGAGTTTCCTGTTGTCTGCTTACTTTGTGATTGCAACAGCACCCACCTACCCCCTCAGCCACCCAGCCCGGTGGGGGCAAAGGGCAGCCCAGCCAGCCCTCCCTCACCCAGGCCGGCCTGGCTACCCTGCCCTTTGCAGGGCTCAGCCTGACGGGGCCGCCCACTTGCCCAGTGCGGAGGCGGAAAAGCAGTCATGTGCTGCTGGTAGGAGGGTAAGTGGGTGCAACCTTTACCAAGGGCAGTGTGACAACCTCTCTCTTTCTCTCTCTCTCTCCCATATCTATCTCAAACTAATACAATATTACATGTCAATTGTATATCAATTAAAAAAATACATCTTGCCCTGGCCGGTGTGGCTCAGTTGGTTGGAGCGTCATCCCGTACACCAGAAGGTGATGGGTTCGACTCCCATCAGGGCACATATGGGAGGCAACCAATCAATGTTTCTCTCTAACATCAATGTTTCTCTCTCTCTCTCTCTCTCTCTCTCTCTCTCTCTCAAATCAAATAGCCCAGCCAGTATGGCTCAGTGGTTGAGCGTAGACCTATGAACCAGTAGGTTATGGTTTGGTTCCTGGTCAGGGCAACATTCCCGCATTTGTAGGCTCGATCCCCAGTGGGAGGTGTGCAAGAGGCAGCCAATCAATGATTCTCTCTCATCACTGATGTTTCTATCTCTCTCTTCCTCTCCCTTCCTCTCTGAACTCAATAAAAATATATTTTAAAAATACATCTCCTTTGACATCAAAAGAGGTGAGTAAAAAAATCCCCGTACACTTACTTTGCAAAATCTAAATAAGTGATCTCAGTTCCAATGAGTTAAGAAAGATCGTGTCGTTTTCAATATTATGGCTTAAGGGCTTTCTATTTCTATTTAAGTATTTTCTGATACTGGTATCAGTGTCTACGAGAGGTACACAGGGCTGTTGCCTCGGCCTGTATTTGGTTGTGATTTTCTTTTTGGTGTCAATCTCTTAACTATCAAGGTTAACCTTGGAAAATTAAATACAGAAAAAGGAGAATTTATGAGAATTGTAGTTTCCCTTCAGACAGATACTTCCACAGAAGCAGTAGGTCCTTCTCCTACATCGTTGTCATCGAAGACAGAAAACTACGCTTTGTTCTTTGCTACTGAAAGGAGCGCTTTTTTGCAGGGAGAGAGGAAGGGAGAGAGAAACATGGACATGAGAGTCAGCCGCCTCCTGCACGCCCCCCTCCAGGGATCAAACATGCAACCTTTTGGTGTGTGGGATGACACCCAACCAACTGAGCCCCACTGGCCAGGCCGAAGGAGGCCCTTTTATAGACAAGCAAATGTAAATGCATAAGGACCACCGCCCGAAGCCAGTGCTCCAGTCCAGCGGTCGCCAACCGGTGGTCTGCAGGCCACTGGTGGTCCGTGAGGTCCAAAAGGTTGGTGACCGCTGCCCCGGTCCATCCAACACAGGAAACAGCACTTAACTCCAGTCTTCTTCCCCGACAACTATTCCAGTGGACACTCCCCTCTAACTTCCCTGCTTAAACACACACACACACACACACACACACACACACACACACACACCCCTTGCCCTTTGACCCACCCAGCATTTCAACTTTTGGAAATTTATCCTAGACATACACTTGCATATGTATAAATTAACAAGTTTTCTCGATTGTTGTATTATTTGTAATAATAAGACTGGAAAAGACCTGAATGTCGATCCATAAGAGACTGGTTACGGAAAGGTTTAGCAATTGGAATACTATACAGCCATGAAAACGGACCAGAGCTATGTGCAACGGCATGGTGGGAAAAGATGCAGAATTCCCCTACTATTTACATTATGATTCTCTTTATATAAAGATTAAAATCTGTTAAGATGAAAACGAAACTACGCGTTGGGGATATTTACATGAGTGGTAAAACTGTAAGGAAAAGGAAGGAAATCATTACTGAACACGTTAGGATGGTGTTGCTTCTAGAGAGAGGGAGGGGTCTTGAAAGGGACTTTTGTGGATGTTTCTGGAGGACTGGAAATGTTTTATTTCTTGACCTGGATGGTGGTTACCTAAGTGTTAGCTTTATAATCATTCTTTAAACTGTAAATGCTTTGTGCACTCTTTAATATGAATGAGGTCTCTCATGATGCAAAAATGCTGCAGTCCATCCAAACAGTGGAATACTATACAGTCATTCAAAAGAACAAGACAACTCTACCGTATATGCATGGGCGTGGAATGGATTTTTTTTTGGGGGGGAAGGGGGAGTGAAGTACAATGTGTTCTTATGCTACCTTTTAGGTAAATTTAGCAAGAGAACACATCTGCCTGTGGGCTTATGTATGCTTACATTACCTCTAGAAAAATACACAAGGACCAGGTAACTTGCAGGGAGCCGGTGGAAGAGGAACTGGGCAGCGGTTTCCCTTTTTGCACATTTTGAGTGTTGTATCGTGTGAATATGTTATCAATCCAAAAAATAAAGTAATTTAAAAAATTTTGTCTCTCATTCTCTGGAACCCCCAAGATGTTTGGGTTCAAACTAATTTCTTGCCAGGAAGAATGAGAGTCACAGCCCAGGCCGGAGGCACCTGGCGACCTTCAGCAGGTCGGGGACCCTCCCTGGCCCCCATTTCCTCCACGCAGAAGAAGGAGCCATGTCACCACCGCTTCCCAGCTCCCCTCCCCCCAGGCCTCTGTCCTCCTCTTCTGCCGTCTGCACCCTCTTCTCTCCTTGCTTCAGGCTCTTGCTGCTTCACTTCCCTCCGTTGGCACTTGCTTCTATTTTGTTTCTCTTTCTTTTTTTCAAAATCCTCACCCGAGGATATTTTCCCATTGATTTTTGTTTGTTTGTTTGTTTGTTTAGAGAGAAATATCGATGTGAGAGAAACACATCAATTGGTTGCCTCCTGCACAAGCCCTGACCAGGGCCCAAGCCGGGGAGGAGCCTGCAACCGAGGTACATGCCCTTGGCTGGAATCGAGCCCGGGACCCTTCGGTCTGCAGGCCGACGCTCTATCCACTGAGCCAACCAGCTAGGGCTTGTTTCTCTTTTCCTCCCTTCTGATCCTTGCTGCCTCTCCCCCTCTCTGCCCTTCCTGCCCTCTTTGTGCGTGCCTTCTCAGCCTTTCCTCCTCCCCTCCCCTCCCCTCCCCTCCCCTGTAGGATCCAGCCTTTCCTAGAGTCCCCATAAGGCGGGGTTCGTGCCCCAGCTCTCCACACAACCTGGGAGACCTGGACGAGTCACTGACCCCTTGCGTTATGTGAGGCCACAAGGTGGAAGCAGCCAGCACAGTGCTGGGCACTCAGAAAAGAATTTCCCTCCTTTTAAAGGAGCTGGTAGCCCTGGGGCTGTGGATGGTCTGACCCTTCCTGCTCTGCTTGGGATTGCTCAGAATCCGGGCCCTCCTGTTCTGAAGGCTTTGAATGACAGCAGGCCCCTGGGTATGGGAGGTCTTGGGAAGAGGCCTCTGGTAGGCTTTGGGGGAGGGAGGATGGGAGGAAGGATGGGGAGGACTTGGTGTGTGAATAGAAAGGGAGGCTCGAGTCGTGCAGACAGTGAGTCCTTCTGCCCATTTCCAGAGATTTGGGCCCTGGACCTTTTTTGGGGGCTTCCTTCCTCTCGGGCTTGGCCAGTCTTGGGACAATGGAATCTCTTTCTCCTGGGGTCCCCTGAGACTGAGGCCCCAGAAACACATGGCCGACCTGGTGTGCCGCCTGCAGCACAGAGAAGAGCGCACACTCCCTGCCGACGGCCAGCAGAGTCGCCCCTGGATGCAGCCCGGCTCCTCGGCTTGGCTCTCCAGGCCCTTCGCCTCCCTGTCCTGTCTGGCTTCCAGCCACAGGGAAGGCGGCTCACTGTTCCCTGTTCTTCTCCACCTCCTGGCCTTTGCTCAGGCTGGCTCCTCAGCCAGACAATGCCCTTTCCCTTGCATGCTTTCCCCCCTGAGTCCTGGCCAAATTAATTGTTCCTCAGTGTACCTAGCACCTCCCTCTTGTGCCCCCACCTCCCCAGAATACTATGTGTTTGCATGTCTGTTATCTGTAGCCTGTGAGCTCCTGGAAGCCCAGGGAATGCCTCATTCATGTCTGTGTTCAGCACATGGGAAGTTAGTGATTAAATGAATGAGTTAGTGGACAAATAAACATTCAACAAACCAAACCAAGAGAGTAACGAATGAATGAATGAGTGAATGAATGGAGACATCAAGCAGGACCTGGTTCTCATGGAGCAGACCCACCCTCATGCACCTCCAGTTAGCTGGGACTCTGCCTTCTCCACAGGGAAGCTGAGAGCAGGATGGAGCGGATGTCAAGTCAGCCTGCCTCTCCCCTCCTCTTGGGGAGGGGCCTGGGTCAGGTTCCTAGGGTGTCTTGGGGACTTGCGACCTGGAACCCCTGGAGAATCCCAAGTGTGGATGCAAAAAATCGGTGAAGATGGAAGTGATTGAATGGTGAACCTAGACCTATGATCCCTGGTCTTTGCTGCCAGTGAAGACACACTTGGGGGCCTGGGGTTCTACTGACTGGAAGGAGGTAGGCTAGTCTTAGTGGGAAGGGGATATAAAGCAAGGGGTTAGACTACACATGGGAGGCAATTGGACTCACTGGACATCAATGGGTCAAATGTGTCTTTATTCATCTCGCTGCTCTCCAGACTAGATCAGGGGCTCTCTGAAGGCAGGGATCTTGTTCATTACTTTTCTGTTTTCCCAGAACTCAGCATAGAGCCTGGAACTCAATTAATATTGGCAGGGTGCACAGATAAAAGGATGAATAGATGGATGGATGGATGGATGGATGGATGGATGGATGGATGGATGGATGGATGGATGGATGGGTGGGTGGGTGGGTGGGTGGGTGGGTAAATGAATGGGTGACAAGATAGATGGATGGATGGGTGGAGAGATGAATAGGTGGATGGATGGATGAGTAGGTGGATAATGGACTAATAGATGAACAGATTGATAGCTGGATGTACAGTAGAAAGACTGATGGATGAATAACACATGAATGGGCTGATCTATGAATATATAGATGGCTAGATGGACAAGTAGATAAACAGATAGGTGAGTGGATGAATGGACTTACAGACAAATGAATGAGTGGACAGTTGGATAAACTGATAGATAAATGAATGTATGACTGACTTGACGGGTGGATAGACAGTTGGACAAACAGATAAACAATGGGTGGGAAAATAGATGAATGGACAGACAAGAAAGGTTAGTAAACTAGAAAGACTGGATTCGACATTCAGGCATTGGCAAGGAGTGAGGAAACAGAAATCTGGGCTGGAAATAGAGCCCCCAGGGATATGGAAGAAGTGGCGATATTCAGGAAACTGGGAGGGGTGGTGTAAGAACCCAGGACCCACCTTCGGAGGAAGGAGGGCTGGTGGGAAGGGTTTGGGATGGGGGAGGTGGAAAGCGCACTGTGCTCAGGACGCTGTCCCAGAGCCCAGCGCCAGGCTGGGTGGCACCCAGGGCGTGGGGGCCTGGCATCTGCTGGATCAGCCCTCGCCAGCCAGGCTGACCCCAGAGAGTGGAGGCCCCAAGAGGCCACCCTACCAGCCCTGATCCCACAAAAGTGACTGTTGGCCACCTGGGGGTCTCAAGAGAAGGAAACATTTGTGGGGTTAGGGGTTAGAGCAGTGGTTCTCAACCTTCCTAATGCCGTGACCCTTTAATACAGTTCCTCATGTTGTGGTGACCCCCAATTTCATTGTTACAAATTGAACATAATTAAAGCATAGTGATTAATCACAAAAACGATATGTAATTATATACGTGTTTTCCAATGGTCTTAGGCGACCCCTGTGAAAGGGTCGTTCGACCCCCAAGGGGGTCGCGACCCACAGGTTGAGAACCTCCGGGTTAGAGCCTCAGCACAGCCTGGGGGCAGCAAAGGCCTCCCTGTGGTAGAGCTAGCCTTCCTCCCTCCCACTCTTCCTCCCCACCCACCCCCCAAGGCCGCCCCTCACAGTCCCAGCTTCCTCTGGGCAGGGGGCCTGGCCCCCACAGCCTTCCAGGCCGGCCCCTGCAGCACCACCTGCCCCAGCAGCCAGAGACTTCCTGTAGCGCAAGAGATTTATGCAAACGGGCTGGGGTGGTGATGTCACCCCAAGGGGACTATCTCCCAGTGGCAGGCCCTTCGATAAAATCAGGAACTTGTGCTGGCCCTGCAATGTCAAGGGAGGGGGCTCACGCAGGGCGCCTGTAGCTCAGGGGCAGGCCCAAGCCCTGCGCCCGCGAGTCAGTCCAGCCCCTGACGGGGCTTCCCATCCCAAGGGGCTCCGCACTGGCCCCCACCGAGGCAGGGGACCGGACCGGACCAGAGCTCGGCTGGATGTTACAGGCGTGCAAAATGGAAGGGTTTCCCCTCGTCCCCCCTGTGAGTACTGGGGCTCCTCCACCAGCCCAACCTGTGGCCCTCGGGCGCCCGCCCGCCCGCCAGCCAGCCCGCAGGCTGCCCTCCAGGCTTGCTATCAGTGGGAAGTTGGCGTTTCCTCCTTGGAGCTCTGGCCTGAGAACCAGCCAGGGGGCCATTGGGTCCTCAGAGCGTGCCCTGGCGGGCTGAGGCTGGGCCGGTGTGGGGCTGTGATCGGTGGGGCCTGAACGGTTATTTATAGATGGGGCTCGGTGGCGGGCCTGAGCTCCAGGGCAGGGCACTGGGCCGAGAATGGGGAGGGCGGCGGCAGAGAGGTGGTGGGGAAGGAGATGGGGAGACTGGCATGGGGGAAGCCTTGACTGGGATAGTGAAGTCTTGAGAGCAGGCGGCACTGGGCCAGGGGCCTCGCCCTTGGCCAGGGAGCTCCTGGGGACGAAGGCTGCTGTAAGTCTGGGTCCCCAGCGCTCGGCCTACGGCCTGGCACAGAGGACATGGTTATTGACTGAAGGGTCTGGGCCCAAGGGCCTGAAGGTCCACAAGAGGCCAGGCAGAGGCCCAGGGGTGGGGCAGAGGCTAGGGCTGCCGTTAGGGCTGGGGCTAGGCTGGGGCCGGAGACATCCTGGGGCTGAGATTGGGGCTGCGTAGGACCTGGTTGAGTGTGGGATTGGAGTTAGGGCAGGGGCCGAGGCTGGGACAGAGGCAGACGAGGTAAAAAAGCAGGACCAGGGGACCCCAGGAGGTTCAGGGCAGCAGGCTGGGGCACCCCCCTGCTCCTGCTCTGGGTGACAGTGGCAGCCTCAGGCGGGTGTCAGACTTGGGCTCCTCTGAAAGGGTCCCTTTCCTTTTTCTCACTCCATCTCCCCGCAGCAAGGGTGGGGAGCCCCAGGAAGGGCTTGGCAGGAACTGCCCACCTGACTCAGCTTTCCCGGCCTAAAGGCAGCCCCCTCCCCTCACCTACCGCAGCCTCCCACCCCAGTGGGGCCTCAGAGCCCCAGGGAGGCACCACAGCCCTGACACCCTGCTGCCCAGCTGCCTGACGACCCAGTGCTGGGCTCCCGGCTCCCCACTGGGCCTGGCCTGACAGCACCAGCCAGCTAGCCCCCTGACCTGGCCCTGTCCCTCTCTCCCCTGGGACCAAGGAGGTGGGGGAGGCAGGGGAGGATGGAGGTGGTCCCAGGAAGAGTCAGTTCTGTCTCAAGAAGGTGATGGGCTCAGGGGCTTGGCCACCCTGTCTCTGACCCTTGAACTTCAATCCCTAAGCTCCAGATAGAGGGGCTGGAGGCACATCTCAGACTCCCACACCTAACCTTCACCCCTCTCCCCGTCCAGGGGCAACTGAGTGCTCCTGGGAGGGAAGGCAGGCTCCCAAGGCAGCCCTGACCCCCAACCCGAGCCCTGAGGGCCAGAGTGACTGTTGTGCAATCCTTGGGCACACGCGTCGGGCTGGGGAGAGGCCTGGTGACTGCTGGGAAGACTGTGGGTGTGCATGTCCCTGTGCCTGTGCCAGTGAGTGGGGAGGAGGAGAGGGAAGATGGGGGGGAGGTGAAGGGAGGGTGGGGGTAGGGGAGGAGGGAGAGGAGGAGGGGAAGGAGGATCCCAGGGAGGGTGTCGGAGGAGCATGGCTGAGGGGCAGTGAGAGGATCAAGGCTTGGCCATCTCATGGCCCCCAGAACCTGCCTGAGTGAGACTGTGAAATCCATCAGGTGGGCAGCCACTGGAGACCACGGTGGCCCTGAGTACGCCTGCCTGGGCCTGGGCACAGGCAGTGAGAGAATGGGGGTTGGCTGGGGGCTGGGGAGGCTGGCAGGAGGACAGCGGTGAGGACGAGTGTGCAAGTGGAATGTGAGTGATTATGGGAGGACATAGGTACGAAGGTGAGTTTAAGGTGCTTGAAGGCAAGGATATGGCTACGTGTGTGAATCCGGGGACTGTGTGGGCCTCCAGGGTGAGCGTAAGTGTGTGTGTGTGTGTGTGTGTGTGTGTGTGTGACCACAGTGCGTGTGGCTGCGAGTGGCCTTCAGAGTGAGTGTGAGGGCGAGTGCGCGGGGACCTGTGGGCATGAGTTGCTGTGTGTGAGTGTGTCATGGGGACGATGCGTACGTTTGGGGGCTGTAGGTGCATCAGTGTGAGTGTCAGAGGGCGGATTTGTGAGATTGGGGCACTCGGGTGTGAGTGTGAGTGTGAGTGTGAGTGTGAGTGTGTGGCGCTTGTGAAGAGGAGGGGCTGGGGGGTGGAGGGAGGCAGTCCTCTCCCCTCAGCATTTGTCTTCTTTTGACCTCTGACCTCCAGGGTCCCTGTCACTCCTGGGTCCCTGCTCCCACTCTCTGGCCGCCCCCAGTCCCCAGCAGAGAGGCCTGATGCAGCTGCTCTTTCTGGGGGACGGTGCGGACCCTACATCCTGGGGGGCTGCAGGCCTGGCTGGGGTCTCCCCACCTGTGTGCGCGCTGACATTCCCCTTTCCCAGCAGCCATCGGAAGACCTGGTTCCCTATGACACGGAGCTGTACCAACGCCAAACGCATGAATACTACCCCTATCTCAGCAGTGATGGAGAGAGCCACAGTGGTGAGTACAGGGCCCCTGCCCCACTGCCCCAGCCCCGCCTGGGCGCGGAGTGACTCCCGGGGTCTGGAGAGAGAAAAAGAAGAAATGGCTCCCAGGACCTCTTTGGAATTCTGAGAATTGGACCATGCTAGCTCCTAAAAGCCCCACTCCACACCCACACCCACACCCACACCCCAGCCTCCATGGACTGAGCATCTACGGTGCCCAAGGCACGAGCCAGCTTCGTTTATCTTGTCCAATCCTTGTGGTCTTTTTACAAACCAGGAAACAGGCTTGGGAGGCTGGGTGATTAGGACAAGGTCGCACAGCTGGTCAGGGGAGCCCAGGTCCGTCTGCTCCAGGTCCAGTGCTTTTCCACTCTCCCTCCCCCCATTTCTCCCTCCTCCTCTGTTCTTGCCGCCCCCTCACCCCGAGCTGTTGGTGCAGGCCCACGCCCTGCTGTGCGTAGCTAGCAGCGTTTCTTAACCCCTATTGGCACTTGGGGCCGGATGATGCTCTGTTGTGAGGCCTGTCTGTTCGCTGTCGCATAGTGAGTGGTGCCCCTCGCTTCTACTCAGAGGTACCAGTAGGACCACCAGCCACGCAGCCAAAAGTGTCTCCACACATTGCGGGATGTTCCCCGAGGGACCGAGTAACCCCAATTTGACAATTGCTGGGCTAACGGAGGCTCTGAGGGTCCCTTTATTCAGCAGGGGCTGAAGCACCCCCTTTGCTGGGGTGGGGTGAGAATGGAGCCTGGGCTAGGGTGTCCTTCTGTCAGGCTGTACTGCCCCCCCCCCTCCCCAAGGCCCAGCCTTGATCCTGGAGCAAATTCAGGGGAGGAGAGAGAGGCATTAGGTGCTGGGGAATGAGTGGGTCTTGGCCTATTGATGGGGACACTCCTGAACCAAAGGTGAGGTATCCTAGTGAATGGGTCCTCATTGGGGTTCTGAGACCTGGGCAGGCCGGACACTAGGGTGTCTGCAGCCCCAGAGGGAGAGGCCCACTGGGTGTCACAGCTGAGCAAGGTTCCACACTTGAAGGCCACCCCTGGGGGCCAGTCACACGGGTAGCTCCATTCTGCAGGCACATCGACAGCAGCCTTACCCTGGTGGCCACACCCAGGGGTGCCACATGCGGCCAGCCCTTACTTAGGGCTCTCCTATCTGATGCCAAACCTGGTGAACAGCTCACCCGGAACCCACACCTGGAAACTATCAGAAAGACCATCCCTGGGAGCCATGTCTGGGGAGGTGGTGGATGTGTCTCAAGGCCACTTCAGGGGACACACAGGCTTCTTTCAGAACCCCAGGGCGGGAAAGGTTTTAAAATATCCTTCTTCATCCTTTTAAACTTATTTATAATTCTGTAAGAAATGCATCCTCCCTGTGGAAAAGCCAGGCAATCTAGAGAGAACGTCTCCTTCATTCAGCTCTACCCCCAGCTCCCCCGGCAGGATCGGTCTGGGTGAGTCAGGACCTGAGAAGGTTCCTCTGGGCTTGAGGACTGGCGCCCCCTGGTGGCTCCAGGCCGCAGGACAGCTCGGGTCCAGGCGAGCTCAGGGCTGCCTGGGGCGGCTTCCAGCATTAGGGATCCTTTTGCCTCGGGCCTGACCCCCTCTCAGTTTCACTGGGTTTGGGTGCATTTCCTTCGGGTCTACCGAAGCCTCAGTTTTCGCTCCTTTAATAGGTAAATGGGGGTGCTGTTCATATATTTAGAAATGAGCTAGGCCTGGGGCTGGGCTGATGGAGGGAGTGCTTTAGAGAAAGCCTGTTCCTACCTGGCTCAGTGCTCCGCCCGATCCCTTATATCTGGGAAGTGACTCCCGGTTCGATGCCTGCGCCCCCTGTGTGGGTCATGAAGGCCCAGTGTCTTCAGAGATTCCTCCACGTCCCCACGTCCCCACGTCCCCACGTGCCCCGGCGCCCCCTCCTCCAGGCGTCTGACCTGGCCCTTCCTGATACCTGTGGGAAGTTCTTGTCTGAAGGCTCAAGAGAGAGACAACCCCACACCCTCCCCCGAGTTCCTACATGTTCCTTGGTCTAGCCCAGTGGTTGGCAAACTGCGGCTCGCGAGCCACATGCGGCTCTTTGGCCCCTTGAGTGTGGCTCTTTCTAAGCCTTAGGAGTACCCTAATTAAGTTAATAACAATGTACCTACCTATATAGTTAAAGTTTAAAAAATTCGGCTCTCAAAAGAAATTTCAATCGTTGTACTGTTGATATTTGGCTCTGTTGACTAATGAGTTTGCCGACCACTGGCCTAGGTGCTAGGCAGCGAGGCTTAGTGAAAAGGCACCGGGCCGGCCCGGGTCTCGTCCGGGGCCCATCACTCAGTGTGTCACCTTGGAGAAAGTGGCTCCATCTCTGAGCCCTGTTTCCTCATTTATAAAACTGGGAGCATGAAAATACCACATGGAGTTGTGACGATTAAACGAGGTGATGCAGGTGAATAGGTGAGCTCATGTACTGAGCACCAGGCCCAGTAAACTTCCAGGACACGTAGGGTAGCTTTGCTGCGTCCCCCAGGCAGCTGGAGAGCAGGAGGAGTACAGAGGGTCCTGGGACAGATCAACCAGCCAGCCACCCAACACTTACTGTCCCACCCACTTGTCCACACACCCACCCAATAGCCTCTGATTGTACCCACACACCAGACACTGTTCTAGGCACTGGAGGCTCCAGGGAGTGAGATGGACAAGGCCGCTCCTCCCATGGAGCTGTATTCCAGGGAGGGAGACAGCCAGCCACAGATAAGCAGACACGGAGTGCTAAGTTCCATGAAGAGCAGAGCGAGGCATGTGGCACCTCTACGCGGGGCTACTGTAACCTGGGTGGTCAGGGAGGGCCCCCGAGGAAGTGAGTGTTGAGTGACACCTGGGTGAAGAGAAGGAAGGTGGGTGCAAAGGCAGGTGGGGGCTGGGCGTCCCGGGCAAAGGGCCAGAGTGGCTGTGAGCACCGGGTGGGGGGTGGGGGATGGAGATAAAAGGTAGGCAGGGTCTGCAGGGGGCAGACTGCACAGGGCCTGAGCGCCAGGGTGGGAGTTTGAATTTTATCCTACAAAAATACAGCCATTGGAGGTTTTGAGTAGGAAAATGACATGATCTGAATAACCTTCTGTGTGTGTGTGTGTGTGTGTGTGTGTGTGTGTGTGTGTTTGGCGAAATTCTAAATAAATTTTAACGTTTGAATTATTAAAATAACAATTACTCATTGCAAAAATCTAAAAAAATGGAAAGTATAACAGTATATCAAGTAAAATATTTCTCTCTTCCCAATCTTACTCCCCACCGACAGCAGCCTCAGTCCATACTCACAGACGTTTTATTCTACATATAATTCTGTATGTTTGTAAATATTTGCTATACATGTGTGTAGGCTATTCATTCAAAAATGGAATTGTGCTATCAAACTGCTCTGCTATTTACCATTTTTTTACTTAAACTTATAGACATTCCTTCATGACCTCCATAGCATATCAGAAACAGATTAAAGATAATTTTTCCAGCCCTGGCCGGTGTGGCTCCATTGGTTGCACATCATCCTGTGCACTGAAAGGTTGCCGGTTCAATTCCTGGTCAGGGCACATGCCCGGGTTTCAGGCTTGATCCCCAGTAGGGGGCATGCAGGAGGCAGCTGTGTTTCACGTTCACATCGATGTTTCTCTCCCTCTCCCTTCCTCTCTCTAAAAATCATTTTTAAAAATCATTTTTCCAGTCTATTACAGTGCTATGTACATGTATGCATGCAGATTTGAAATAGAACACAGAACAATATTCCTGTGTTCATTTACAAACATTTATTGAATGCTTCCTATATGTTAGATAGAGCTGAATCTAGTTTGATCTATTCACCTGTACTATAAAAGATGAGAAGTTGCCCTAACCGGTTTGGCTCAGTGGATGGAGCGTCGGCCTGCGGACTGAAGGGTCCCAGGTTTGATTCCGGCCAAGGGTATGTACCTTGGTTGCAGGCACATCCCCAGTAGGGGGTGTGCAGGAGGCAGCTGATCAGTGTTTCTGTTTATCCCTCTCCCTTCCTCGCTGTAAGAAATCGATAAAATATATTTTTTCAAAAAAAGATGAGAAGTTGGCTTTCTAGTCATTCGCAATACACACACACACACACACACACACTTCCCCACACACACCAAGATAAGTGTATAGCAACTTTTTCTTTTTTTTCTAGTTTTACTAATTAATTGACATATAACACTGTATACATTTAAGGTATACAGCATAATGACTTCATGCATATTTATGTTTATATATTATTTATATATATAAACTTGACTAGCACTAGTTTAATTAACGTCCGTCACCTTGTATAGTCACAACAATTTTTTTTTCCTTGAGATGAGAACTTCTAGCAACTTTAAACATCCCATACATCAGTGTTAACTGTAGTCATCATGTTGTACATTACATCCCCAGGACTTACTCCTCTTATAACTGGAAATGTATGCCTTTGACCACCTTCCGTCTATTCCCCACCCACCACCCCATCCCCTGCCTCTGGCAACCACAAATCTGATCTCTGTTTCTATGAGTTGTTTTTTGTTTGTTTGTTTGTTTGTTTTTAAGATTCCGCATGTAAGTGAGATCATACAGTAGTTGCCTTTCCCTGTGCAGTAACTTCTGTTAAATGTATCTGAATTTCCCACTATTATGACCATGTGACTATTACGGCTGAGCCCCCTGGCGTACTTTGCCTGTATGTTCTCCTCCCCGCGTTTCTCAGGGGCAGTGCAGCGAGGAGAGAAGAGCCCTCATTCTGGGACTAGGTTGCTGGGGGGCACCCCCCACCTCTCCATCACTCTCTGGGGTGATCCTGGGCAGGATACTTCACCTCTCTGCGCCTCAACTTTCTCTTCTACTTCACGGGGTTGCTGTGAAGATTGAGTAATTGTCTGTAAAATGCTCAGAACAGTGAATGTTATATACTATAAGGATTTGTTCATCTTATCAGTATAGTTTCCTAAAAAAGGGGGTGGGCAAGGTTTTGCAGTTGTTTGTTTTACCT